TGAAAATGAGGTCACGAAATTTGACTATAAATAGATGGAGCGATAGCACAGCGGTAGGGCATTTGCCTTGCACTTGGCCAGTGGCCGGCAATCCTGACCCAAGTTTGATTCTTCTGCCCCTCTTGGAGAACCTGGCAAGCTACTGAGAGTATCTTGCTCACACGGCAAAGCCTGGCAAGCTACCTGTGACGTATTCTATATGCCAAACACAGTAACAAGTCTCACAATGGAGATGTTACTGGGCCCGCTCGAGCAAATCGATGAACAATGGGAGGACAGTGCTAAAGTGCTACAGTGCTAGATGGACTAAAGGCATCTTTAAATAAGAATCATCATGGACCAAGACAGTGGAAGCAACAATTGACAATTGGGACTACATTAAACTGAGAAGCTTCTGCACCTCAAAAGAAACAGTGACCAAGATGCAAAGACAGCCCATGGAATGGTAAAAACAATTCACCCAATACCCATCTGATAAGGAGTTAATATCAAAGATATACAGGCGTGGGTCGAACATTACAAAGAAAAATACATCCAACCCCAGCAAAAAATGGGGAGAAGAAATGAACAGAAACTTCTCAAAGGAGTTTGGGTGGCCGAAAGACACATAAAGAAAAGCTCTTCATCAGTAATCATCAGGGAGACGCAAATCAAAACAATAATGAGATATCTCATATCACAGAGACTAGCAAATGAAAAAGAACAACCAGTGCTGGCGTGGATGTGGGGAGAAAGGGATCCTCATTCATTGCTGGTGAGAATGCCAACTGGTCCAGCCATTTTGGAAAACAATATGAACATTCCTCAAAACACTAGTAATCGAGCTTCCATTTGACCCAGCAATAACACTCCTGAGAATAAACCCTGGGAGTCCAAAAACACACAGCAGAAACACTATCTATGCTTCTATGTTCATTGTAGTACTACTCACAACAGTCAGAATCTGGAAATAGAGTACCTGGGGACAGATAAGTGCAAAAAAGAAAATATGGTACATCTACACAGTGAAATATATGCAACTGTTTGGGAAAATGAGATCATGAAATTTGCCTATAAACGGATGGACCTGGAGAGTGTCACGCTGAGTGAAATGAGTCAGAAGGAGAGGGACAGATATAGACTACATTCATTTTTGATATTTAAAACATATATGAAACCAATAATCAAGGCCAGGGAAAACTACCTAGGAGAACTGATACATAGTTGAAAATTTCCACAGAGGTGTGGAGGCTGGAGAGTAGTTAAGACAGATGAGGGTCCATTATGAAAACATTAGTTAGAAATAGTCACTCTTGACAAGAACTGAGTGTTGAAAGTAGCTAAAGGGATATACATGATAAACTTTCAGCATGTGTATTGCAAACCATAATGTCTAGAATGAGAGAGAATGTGGGAAGAGAGAGAGAGAGAAAGAAAGAAAGAAAGAAAGAAAGAAAGAAAGAAAGAAAGAAAGAAAGAAAGAAAGAAAAAAGAAAGAAAGAAAAGAGAGGTACCTGTCAGAGAGGCAGGCAGGGGTGGGGATGGTGTTGAGGGGTGGAAGGCAAACTGGGGGCATTAGTGCTGGAAAATTACACTGGTGGAGGATGGGTGTTGCAACACTTTATGACTGAAACTCAATCATGAACAATTTTGTAATGCCCTATCTCATGGTGATTCAATAAAATAAAAATTTAAAAAATATACAAGACACAGATAGAACTTCACAAGAAAAAGATATCAAATCCCATCAAAAATGGGGAGAAGAAATGAACAGAAGCATCCTCAAAGATGACATTCACATGGCCAAAATGCACATGAAAAAATCCTCTACATCACTAATCATTGGGGAGTCATAAATGAAAACAACAATGATATATCATCTCACATGACAAAGATCGGCAGAAATCCAAATGAGCAAAAACAACCAGTGCTGGCCCAGATTCAGGGACAAAGGGATTTTCTTTCATTTTTGGTGGAAATGTTGACTTGTCCAGCCTTTTTGGACAACAATATGGACATTCTTCAAAAAAAACTAGAAATTGAGCTCCCTTGTGAACTAGCAATACCAAACTAGCAATTCTCTTTATGAGAATATAATCTGTGGGTCCAAAAACACACAGCAGAGACACCATCTGTACTTCTTTGTTCACAGCAGCACTATTCACAATAGCCAGCATCTGGAAACAATCTGAGTGCCAGAGAACAGACCAGAGGATAAATAAACTATGTTACATTGACTATGTTACAATGGAATACTCATGGCTGTTAGGAAAAAATGAGGTCATGAAATTTGCCTATAAGTGGACAGACTGGGAGAGTATCATGCTGCTCGAAATGAGTCAGAAGGAGCGGGACACAGAATGACTTCATTCATTTGTGGGATATAAAAATAATATGAGGCTAATAGCCAAGGCCAGGGAAAATAGGGGCCAGGAGGACTAGTCAACAGTTGGAAATAACCACGGGACAGGTGTGTGGGGTGTGGTTGGCAGAGAAGTTATAAGACAGAGGAGGGTCCAACATGATAACAATAGTTGGAAACGATCACTCTAGACAAAAACTGAATGTTGAAATTAGGTAAAAGAACATGTATACATATATAATTACATTTCAGCATCTGTATTGCAAACTATAATGCCTGGAATGAGAGAGAGAGAGAGAGAGGGAGGGGGAGAGAGATGGAGAGAGAGAAAAAGAGAGAGAGAGAATAGTTGCCTGCCATAAAGACTGGCTGGGGTGGGGGAGTTGGGAGGGACTTGGGAGGTGTGATGGAAACTTGGGTCATTGGTGCTGGGAAATTACACGGGTGGAGGGATGGATGCTGTAACATTCATTGACTTCAGTCATACAATGAACCCAATCATGAACAGCTTTGTAATGGTCTTTCTCACGGTGATTCGATAAATATATTTTAAAAAATCTAACACTAAAAAAAGATTAAATTTTAGGTGCTAGGGATCAAACAAGGGCATCATATATATAAGGACTGTGTTCTCTATCAAGGATTCACACCCCAGCAATTTGAAGTCTATGTCTGGTAATTTATCTTTCATGATTAACAGACTTATCAGCTTTATCTTATGCTATATCTGACTCATGCTGCTTTTTCTAATTATGTGAGTCAATCATTGTCTTCTAGTCACTAGTATTGAAAATTATTGAAAGAAATGATTTTATTAGGATTATTTTATTTACATTAAAAATTAGGGATATTTAGAACCTGGAATTATCTTAACCCAGCTCCAGGTTCAAAATTTTTCTTAGTTATGGAGGTGACTTGAAATAGGCCTGAATTTTATGACAAGGGTAGCTGTCCTGCTCCAATTTTGTTTCTGGTGTATATGTGTTTGGTATTCAACAATAAGTACTATCAGTTGATCTTTGTCTTTTTTGTCTATTTCTGCTGTTTCCTTTAGTGGGACTGTGAATGAAATTTTCAATCTGCCAGTGTTAATGTTTGTAAATGCATCATAGGAAAAAGTGACATCCAAAACAAGTTTCCCCCTTGAATTCTGTCTTTATATGGATTCCTCGTTTTTGTAATAGTTTCTCAGTGCTTACTTCCAACTCTACAAAAGACTCTCCACAAATTATGCATTTGGTCATAATTAGAAATTGCACCCTTAAAATTCTATCATCAATATATTTCCTTTGCAACCCAACAAAAATCTTTTTAGATAAGATCTTGGTAATGGGTGGGGAGAAATATGGGAAGTCTTAATATGTTGGTTAAGTTGCATTACTAATCCACCTATCTTTATAGAAGTTTCACTGTGTTTTGTTTTCAAATTCAAATACTTTGCATTAGAATATGTGTGTATCAGGAATAGAAAAATCTAAAATGTAAATTAATGTAATTTAGAATTAATGTAATTTAGCATTACACCCAAAATCAAAGTCTTAAGATTATATCAGTGCAGATAACATAAAGTCTTTGATCTTAGAATCTTATCCGCTTTTTGCAAAAGCATGGCATTCAAGAGGAGCTATTTAATAGGATTTTAAATTTAAGTTCAAGGTTAAAGAGGAAAAATAGTGACTGTAAAATCTCTTATATTTCAATTGATTCAGTTAATGACTTAAATTTTCTTATGGCATTTATCATTAGTTCAATTGTAAATAATAAATATTTTCTCACCCTTCAACTGTTCCCAAATCTCTAAAGAAACCAACTGACTTTTATGAAACAATTAATAAGAAATGTTTATTTAAGCTTAACATTTTTATAGTTCTTTTTTCATGACTAAAAATATAGGCATCTTGTTTTACAATACTGTTAGCAGTAGGGTTTCATGCCTAAAACTTTCAACAGCACCACATCCTCTACCATAGTCCTATGACTTCCTCCTTTCTTATTCCATTGTCTCCCCTCTTTCTAGCCCCATTAACTCATTCCTATGATAAACTACCTATGGAAGACCAGTTATCAGTTTCTATTTTATTTAGGAATTTGTTATTACCCTACCATAAGAAATTAAAATGACATTTTTTTCCTTTTCCAATAACCAAAATCCAAGAAGATATTTGAAAGCAAAAGGGAAATACTGTATCTCAGGTTGACTAGCAGCATAAATTTAGACTGTTAGCTTTATGAAGATTCATATGGTACCATTATTTTTCCACAGGAGAATTTATAATCAGGATAACATGTTAAGATTAATATTGTGGGTTAATCTTATATAATATTTAAATGTTTTGTTTCTTAAATTTAGCTTTTTACCAAGTGTATTTGTCACCTTCAAATTGTTTTAAATATCTCAAATATTTAGTGTCTGTGTTGGAGAATTCATTAGAATAGTAATGCCTAGGGAAATAGAAATATCTTTCACTTTTTTATTCATGTTTTATTCCACAGATTATTGTTAACCTAAATATTGAATATATAGGTTAAGAATAATGAATAACCAAATTACAATTAGGCTCAGATGTTACCAGTTGACGTCTGTAGGTTGTTCACAGTACATAATCCGAAGATATTGAGCATAGCCGCTGCAATTCTTATGGCCCAGAGAGTTTATTACCTAGAGATATTGCCCAAACGATAGCAATCTTCATGATGGCCTTAGTCCGCGAATTGAAACGGCTATGCTCAATAGGATTACGTATTGCTACATACCGATCCAGCGAAATAGCGCAGAGGTGCATGATGGACGCTGTAGAAAATAAAACATCTAAAGATATCCAGACGGGGCACAAATACCTAGGTAATGGCCAGACATAATCTGAAAGAGAAGAGAGAAAAGACAAAACATTTATAAATAACATGAATTATAGTCTTAAATTTATAATTTTCCTCTCATAGCATAAGGGGATGGGGGGTGGGAGGGATACTGGGATGGGGGGTGGTGGAGAATGGGCACTGGTGGAGGGTTGGGTACTCGATCATTGTATAACTGAAACCCAAGCACAAAAATCTGTAAGTCTACAACTATACCTCATGGTGTTTCACTAATAAAAATTAAAAGATTAAAAAAAGAGGGTGGGGCTTACTGAGAAAATATACCTTAGCACAATACATTATACTTCTGTTAAATCACTTTCAGAGTCTAAAAAAAGTAATGAAAAAAATGTGACTTACAAAGTTACTGATAGTTGAATTTTAGGCACATAATATTCCAACACCAATGCCATCACCAGGGTTCCAGTGTTAACTCCCCTCCACCAGTGTTCCCACGCTCTCCCACCAGCTCTTTCCCACCCTTCCCACCCCTCGTGCCCTCCCCCAAGCTGTTTTACCAGGACAATCTGATCTCATATTTTCAGTGTTGTTGAGCCTGTGCTTTGAATATATAGCTACACCACTCACCCATATCACTAGTATAAATCAAGGCCTCTGACTCCTGTTCCCCCATAATTTCTCTTTGTTATCCTCTTCCTCCCCGCCTTGATTTATTTCCTTCTCTATCCTCTTCCCTATACTCCGGGGTCAAGGTAATCTCCCCTTATATTTCCTCATCCAGTTATTATATACAGCACAGATAAGTGAGCACTTGCCCTGTTTGTCCTTCTTAACCTGTTTTTATTTTAAAGTGAAATTTTGTAATAATTCCACCCATAGTGATGGTGATGATGATAATAACATGCCATTTTCAGTATTTATTACATATATTGAGGTAAATTTTACATTAGCACTTAAAATTTCACAAATCAGTGGCATTTATTAAATTCAAAATATTATGCAAACATCACCTCTCTATTTCCAAAACACTTTATCATCACCAAGGAAATTACTACTAATTAAGCAGTTAATCCCTATTTTTGTTGCTACAACCCCCCCCTAAATAGCCTATCTGCTTTCTGTCACTATAAGTTTATTTAATGTCAATATTTCAAATAAAGGTAATCACGCAGTTGTGACCAGTGTATCTGACATCTTTCACTTCTTGTGTTTTTGAGTTCATCATTTTGCTTATGCATAGTATTGCAACTTATTTTTATGTATTAATCTATTGTATAACCTTATCTTCATGTGTGCTGGTTCATCGAGTTTTTTTATAGTTGATTATTAAATATATGTGTATTTTTAATTTTTTAGTTTTATAAGCTAGTTCACAATATTTGATTACATTTAATATTCAGTCACCAATTGTTACTTTTACTATTTCTTGCTCCGTTTTATTCTGTATTTTATTTTTCTTTTATTTTCCCTCTTGCTTACCTAGATAGTATTTCCACTATAATGTCGAATGGAAGTAGGCATGTTTTTTCCCTTATCCTGAGGGAAATGTTTTATTTTTTTACTATTGAATAGTATGTTAGTTGTGGGTTTTTCATAATTGCCCTTTATTCTGCCCATCATATTGCAGACATATTCTTTCAATCCTACCTCATTAAGGGCTTTTGTGAAAAACTGATGAATTGGGGGAAATTTTTTTTCTGAATTAATTGAGGAGATTTTGTCGTCTCTCCTTCGTTCTGTTAATATAATTTGTTACATTGACTGAGTTTTTTGTTTCACCATCACTTTGACTTTTTTATGTTCTTTATTTCTAATACAATTAACTCTTTTGTAGTCTATTGGATAATGCTTATTTCATAGAATTAGTCACAAAGTGTTTCATCATCTTCTAATTTGTAGGAAATTAAGAAGAATTGGTGTCAATTATTCTCTATAACATTTGGGAAATTTCCTCATTGAAACCACAGGGCCCTGAAAGTGCCTTGTTGAAATTGTTTCTTTTTTTTTTTTATAACAAGGCCACATCTTTATTTATTAGTTCTCTATATCTTTCTGAGTATTGTCTGTATTACTCTAGAAATTTGTCCATTTAATCTAAGTAATATGATTTGTTGCATTTTTTTCTGACTTGTTTGAATTGTTCATTGTATTCTTTTCATGATCCTAAGTAATTTCTGTATGATTAGTAGTAATTTCCTCTCCACAAAAATTTTCTTTATAATTTTATTAGTTTGTGTCTTCTCTCTCTCATTTCTCTAGTTGTTAGAGCAAATGATTTATCATTTTTCTTTTCTTTTTTGTGGTGGGAAATGAACACTGGAGAAGAAACAGATATTGGGACATTATATGACTGAAATCCAATCACGATCAACTTTGTAACTGTGTATCTCACTGTGGTTCAATAAAATACTATTTGTAAAACTGTCATTTTTTAAGAGCCAACTACTAACTCTCTGGTCACATTTCCTGGGACCAGAGAGTTAGTAGAGTAGGTAGGGAGTTGCCTTGCATGCAGTAAACCCCAATTCAAACCTCAGCTCTCCAAATGGTCCACTGAGCTCAGGAGTGGTCCCTGAGTGAAGAATTTGGAGTAACCCCTAAGCACTGTTTTGTGTTGTCAAAACACTACAAAAAATAATATAAAAGAACCAACCCATCTTGAGTGTCTTTGATTTTTCTTTTCTCTTTTTGACTTATCTACACTTTAAAAGTAAGTAAAGTAAAGGCCCTCCCGTTGATCATCGATTTGCTCGAGCGGGCCCAGTAACATCTCCATTGGAGACTTTGTTGTTACTGTGTCTGGCATATCGAATACTCTCGATAGCTTGCCGGGCTCTCTGAGAGGGGTGGAGGAATCGAACTTGGGTCGGCCATGTTGGCTGCGTGCAAGGCAGACGCCCTACCCACTGTGCTATCGCTCCAGCCCTGTCTACACTTTAGTTTTTTTTTTTTTTTTGCTTTTTGAATCACACCCGGCGATGCTCAGGGGTTACTCCTGGCTTTGCACTCAGGAATCACTCCTGGTGGTGCTTGGGGGACCCTATGGGATGCTGGGAATCGGACCGGGTCGGCCGCGTGCAAAGCAAACGCCCTACTCACTGTGCTATTGCACCAGGCCCTACACTTTAGTTTTTACCATTTTTTTCTTAGAATAAAAGGTAAAGGTAAAGGCCCTCCCGTTGATCGTCGATTTGCTCGAGCGGGCCCAGTAACGTCTCCATTGGAGACTTTGTTGTTACTGTGTCTGGCATATCGAATACTCTCGGTAGCTTGCCAGGCTCTCCGAGAGGGGCGGAGGAATCGAACTCAGGTCGGCCATGTTGGCCGCGTGTAAGGCGAACGCCCTACCCACTGTGCGCTATATCATTGATCTTGAATTCTTATTTTCAAATACAGACATTTAAAGCTATGAATTTATAGGGACCAGAGAGGAAATACAGGGGTTAGAATGCTTGGCTTGCATGTCTCTGAGTTCAATTTGAATACTTGGCACTGTTTATGGTCCCCTAAGCACTGTCATAAATTATCTCTGAGCAGAGAGTCTGGAGTAAAACAAAGGCACAGATTTTGACCACAAAACAAACAAACACAATCTTATTTTGGCACTGATTCTTTTAAGCCTATGTTTTTCATATATCTTTATTTTACAGTTTTCAAAATAATTTTTAATCTTACTTAAGTGTTTTTCCTTGACTCATTTGCTCTCTGTTAGGGATTTGTGTGTGATTTATTTTTTATATTTTTGATTTGTAATTTTTATTTTTAGCTTCATTTTACCATGAAGATATTTAAAGAAAAACATTATTTTAAATGTTTACAGGGATTTGGGGAGGGGCAACTGAGGACTGAAACCAAAGCTTTAAACATACAAAGCCTGGAATCTACTACTCAGCCACACATACTTCCAAGTACTCTATTCTTGCTTTAAGGCCTGACATAGTGTCTCCAGAATATATCCCATGCATTCTTAAGAAAGATGTGTTTTCTGTTATTGTTAAATGGAGTGTTAACTATACATCTGCTATTATTTTCTATATAATATTGTTCAAGTCTTCTACGTATCATTTTGTCTATGATCCTGGGGATCTAACTCAGGGAGGACTTTACACATGCAAGGGAACTGTTCTACCACTAAGTACTTTCCTGGTCTCTACTTCCTTATTGATCTTCTGTCTAGTAGTTCCATCCTTTATTGAAAGTGAAGTATTCTTTCCAAATACAATAAGTTTGTCTTTTTCATCTTACATTTGTTACTTTTTCATCCTATTTGTTTATTTTTCCTGTTTGGTACATGAATTTATATTGTTTCTATGATATTTATGCTATTGTAAATATTTTTGTTTTAAGCTCCATCTTGTCTGAGACTAGTATAATCATCCATCCCAGGTTTTTTAGTTATTTTCCAATAATAAATATATTTTCTTTTTCTTTTAAACCCATGTAAGTTTAGACCTAAAATGAATGTCTTAATAACAGCATGCTCAGGAAGTTCTATTCCGATATCTATTCTAACATTGTATATTTTTAATTTTTTGTTGTATCTAATGGTGCTCTCTTGGCGGTACTCAGGGGACTATGAGTGGTGCCAGAGATCTAACAAGTCTTGGAATCTTGCAAGGCAAGAGCTTTATCTACTTTACCATCGCTCTATTTCCATGTTATTTTTTTCTAGTTTCTGTAAATAAAGCCCAGGTGTCATACATGCAAGACATATACTTCATCAATGAATAACATCGGAGGCCCTGACATTATGTCATATATATATATGTCATATATTTTATAACAATTCAGCCAATATTTGCCTTTCTACTGGAGATTTTGACCAATTCACATTAATTGTAGTTAAGAAAGAACTTATTGACTTTTCTTTCTCCACCCCAAGCAGCCAAGGAACACACAACTATGCCTCCTACCTGGGACGTAAGAGTCCCTGGAGTGCCCTGCACCGGGTTCAGTCACATAGATCACAGGAACACCTGTTACTGTTCAGATGCATATGCATCCATGTTATAGTTCAGCCACCTCATATGTTATGAATGGAAT